TTATAAATATTATGAACATGTTTTACTATATATATATTTTTATATAATTATTATATATATTGTGAACCTGTTTATGAAAACTAAGTTTGATAAACAGTGTAATGAATTAAAATGCTTTATTAAATTAAAGCAAGTTTTTTTTTATGCAAAATGAGTTAAAATCCTCATAACTAAACATCATTATAGGGAAACGTCTGGTCATTCAACAACTTCGTGTCTCACAGTATTTGTGTTTCATAACATTAAATACTAAACATAAACCTGTAAATTTTGAATTGTGTATTTTAGACTGAAGCGTGACAATTAATATGATTTAAATCAATGTTCAGTCAACTCTATGTATACAAAAACCTACAGAAATAACAACAAGAAGTTTTAATGAGCAATTATTTTAAAAAATAAACGAAACATGTCCAATTATTTTTACTGCATTCCTGGGGCTATAAATAAGCCCTACAATATTATATATTTAGAACTTTGCATTTTATTTCTCAATTACAACATGATAGGCTGTCAGGCAATGAAACATGCATCCACAGCAACTAAGTCGCCTAACCGCCCATAAAGGTTGCCAAACTTGGATGATTTGTATAGCTTTTATGTGACAAAGAGTAGGGTTTAGAGCATCTAATCATTTTTTAAACTTGGTCAAGAGCAGAAACTGTATATATAATTATCAAAATTTATTGAAAATCAATTGGAACATAAACATTACTGGTATATATATTGATGATAATTCATTGGCATACAGAGGTATGATGATACCTGGAGCAAACTCCTTGACTGTATTCCCCCGAAGACTCAAGCACAGAGCCTATAGTACTCAATGTGAAATGAAATGGGGTTTAACTTCCTACTGCCCTGACTGAGCTCAGAAATGTAAGAAAGAACGATATTTTAAATATGTAAAAGTAAATGATATACACTATCTATTCAAATTAGGTATGATAGCTTGCATGCCAAAGTTAACGGCAATAATTACAAGTTTTTAAAATAATTTTAATGTCACTCTTTGATTAATTGCCCCTCTTATTTTTTAAGCAGACTGGGGGGAGAGGTCCTCTCGGTGATGTATAAAATGTCCTAAATGGTCAGAAACTGGGAAAAGGTTAGGAGGGGAGATAGAGAGAGAAAGGTTTAACCCCATATTGTCTGCACCGATTTGGCTAATGTGTGTGTGTGTGTGAGAGAGAGAGAGAGAGAGAGAGAGAGAGAGAGAGAGAGTTTAACCTCCACTCAACACAGACTAAGTCATTTCGTCGGAACTAACAGATGGTTCAGTTTCATTTCAATAATTTGGTTGTGTGTAGGGGTCTTTAGCAGTGGGAGTAAACCGGAGGACCCAGAGAAAACCCATGAATCGGGGAGGCGACCCTACTCCTTGTCACGTTCAACCTGGGAATAGAAACCTAGCCGGTTGACTCAATGACAGACCGTATGATTCAACGTGCATGTGGTAACCATTCGGCTCCCAACACCCCCGCCCCCCCCCCCCCCCCCCAGTATATGACAGGTTTGATAAATAATGTGCAGAATTTGGTGCAGAATGTGATTAGATCGTCTTAAGGGCTGAAGAAAATTTAAAACTCTTTATATCAAAATATCCTAGAAGCGTTTTCATTGTCCAGACATCTGATTGTCTATCCAATAAAGGTCAAGGTGGTACTATTATACCAGTGATGGTATTTCGCCCGTATATTCTGGACATGTCCGACGCTATTTTCCAAACGTCCTAAATTGTCCGACCAGGAATATGCCCAATCAGACATTAAGACATGGAGAATAATATTCAAAATTCCAAAATTAATAATATAGGGTACTGAGTGTATAACTATCACTCAACCCGATTATCGCTGGTAATAGGCTGGATTGATTAAGTAATTATGTGATTGATGTATTTATCGTGTTATACCGTCTATACGCCTACCTCGATTAACTACTTAATCTGCCTTGATTGGCTGACTTAATCCTTTGTCGGACAATTCATCAATCTAATCCTGAACATTCTTAAACTTTAGATGTTAATGGAGTGAGACAATTTTGGAATTTAATATAGGATTTATTTTTTTATTTCAATACTTTGCTTGAGTGTAGGAGACTATAGCAGTGGCAGGAAACAAGCTCACCTAGAAAACATACTTGGGATTGAACAGGTGACCCAACTCCTAGTCACCTACTACAAGCGTGGGATTAAAACCATAACCCTTCACTCAATGACAGACCTTATGATCTAATGCTGTGTATATGGGCGGATGGGGCATATTTTATCGCCCAACCCAAATGACTAGCCAACACAGACACTATTGTCCTTTAACTGTATGCACTGTGTTTTAAGTTTAAATTCTTTGAAATTCTAATTTTATGGCATGTAAAATGACTGACAGGTAAAATGACCAGACAGTTAAGACTAGCAAATTTGTCTGAAACAAGAGCCCTACTAAATGAAATGAAATGGGGTTCAACAACCTACTGGCCCTACTTAATAGGGAACTATTAATTTAACCCTATTTATTGTTTTTTAAATTCTTAGAAATTCTGATTTCATGGCATGTAAATTGACAATCGGATTAAAATACAGATCTATATTTCATTTTTTTTTTTATACATTCGATGGCATACACATACACTACATGAAGATCTGACCGGTTGTAGAGGAGGGTCGTGTCAGTGGTTATACAAGCAACTTTTGACCCTATGACGTCAGACATTTGATTAACTAATCAACGTCAAAAACTCACTGTATCAGACTGTTTCGTTGGCTAATAACTCACATCATCCTAAACGCGGGTTATATAACAATTCTTCCAGATCCTAGAGTAGTAAAGACAAGTAAAACGAAATTTTAAACTATAAAAAACAAAATGATATAGGATCTGTGTTTCAATCAGATTGGTAAGTTGACTGAGGTGTAAGTTCGACTACAACACTAACATTTGAACATGGTTACAATAGATTACTATACAAAACATAATAAGTTAACAAATAATAATATATACATTGCACATAACTAATCATCAATGTTATATACATTAACACTTGCAACTGACTAAAATATCACTATTATACTACATCTTCAGTTAACGTCTCTGATCATCATTTCAGGTTTTTTATAATCCCTTACAAACTAGACTACTAACTACTAGGAAAGTTGAGTCTCTAAAAAGGATCATCAACCCAATAACGGTTAAATTTACAGGAATGATAAATTGAACTTTTGTTAATATTCGGCATCATCCTCACCCTGCAGAGGATGGATACAGGATATAATATTCGCTCGTTCCCAGTCTTCTTATTGTCGGATTCTGAAAATGATGTCATGATATTCCGCTATATCAAGCCAGTGCCAACTATAATTTGCACTAAAATCTTTTGATAGTCCTCTTTTGAATCTGACTGAATCGAAGCCAGGTGATTATCTACCTTTGATATTTTGATTTCTTAATTAAATGTTCAATAAACAATCTCAGAGAGAGAGAGAGAGAGAGAGAGAGAGAGAAATGGGGTTGAATGTCCACTCAACACAAATTAGGTCATTTCGAGACTAACATATGGTTCAATTTTATTTCAATAATTCGCTTTCACGTAGGGGTCTTTAGCAATAGGAGGAAACCTGGACCCGAAGAAAACCCACAAGGTTGGATAGGTAACCCTACTCCTTGTCACACACAACCAGGGAATCAAAACCACACCAGTTGACTCAATGACAGACCTTATGATACAACGCGCATGCACTAATCATTCGGCCATCCAACACCCCCAACAATCTGGGAACATTTGAGCATCACTAGTAGATATTGTCTTAAACATGTAAATAATGATCAGCAGCTTCATATATAATAAAAACACGACTAGACATTTAGAATCAATATAAATTCTATCAAACATACATTCAGGTACACTACTCGGCAGATTCCGCTACATTACATCTAGCCTCGGTTGTATGACAGTAAGCGAATGTACCTACACCCATACAATTGCGGTAACAGCTGTGGGTTTACTTATAAGGAAAACATCCACTTTGAGAAAGAAGTTCTAAAAATGGCATCGTTCGAAGAGTGTGTAGAGTTTTCATTGCAAAGTTGTCCTCTGTTTAAAGAAAATTAGATAAACTTAAAAGAAAATCAGCTTCAGACATTGAAAACTTTGTATGATAAAACACTCTTCACAGGCGTCTTCATGGGTGCCGCTATTTGCCATTCGGGAACTTGAAAGTAGTTCCAATGTTGGAATTCGTCATACAGTTGAGGCTAGATGTAGCTGAGGTTTGCCAAGTGTCTGGTACATATAATAGGAGAATTGTTACAAATAACATCTTAGGGTAACTTATATCAATGTATCTGTCTCTTTAAACAGTATCTAGAATACAATCAAATATATTAGAATAGAAAACACTGAAGTGTTCAACAATAATGATTTGAATCAAATAATCTAACAGATATTGTTCGAAGTAAAATACTCTCTCAACCTCAATAAATACATGTAAATCTATTACAGCAAATACACTAAACAGTCTCATTATTATTACTGTATCACTATTATTATTATTGTTTCATCATTGTTATTGTATCATTACTATCAATGTATCATCATCACTATTATTATTATTACTATCAATGTATCATCATTGCTATTGTATCATTACTATTAATGTATCATCATTGCTATTGTATCATTATTACTATTGTATCATTATTATTATTGTATCATTATTACTATTGTATCATTATTACTATTGTATCATTATTATTTTTGTATCATTATTACTATTGTATCATTATTATTATTGTATCTTTATTATTATTATTGTATCATTATTATTATTGTATCTTTATTATTATTATTGTATCATTATTATTATTGTATCTTTATTATTATTATTGTATCATTATTATTATTGTATCTTTATTATTTTTGTATCATTATTAAATGAACACAGAGATGACAGTCAAAAGTCTAATTATTAAATATTTTAAATCACAAATAAGAACTAATACATTTCGACCCTTTGATACAAAAAAGAAATTAAATTATTTATATTTCTCCTTAATCAGCTTTAATCAATTAGTCTGATTATAATACATGGGAAAATGTATCTTAGTTTCTTTTAAAAACATTTTACGACATACACATATTACACATATCCATCCATCATATACAAATCAATATACCAACTAACTCATAACTAAAATATATCTGAACTATAATTCTTCTTTCTTGGGTTCACTTTTAATATTTATTTCATCAACTTTATCAAAAATATTATTCCAATGATTATAGGCTAAATTTGCTACGTTTCTGGCTCCTATAACATCCATCTCCACGGCTGAAGCAGCCGATTCTATGGCATTAACGTAATACAATTGATCATACAGTACAAAGGCAGGTAACTCCATATTAGGTTTGTACTCTGGATAAGCAAGCCAGTCGACAAGTCTCAATTCTTTACGTGTTTGAAACAAAAGTCTCACTTGTTCCTCGGTGGGAACTTTGTTTAAAAATATTTTAGAAACTATGTCATCCTCCGTTGGATCTGTTTTTTTCTCGAGATGTTTTTTGCCTGAAACCGAGGATTGTTTACCATAACTATTCCAAAAAATAGATTCATTTGTCGTTAAGACTGATTCTGGAAAATCATCAGCACTGTTAAAACCATATGTTGTATAATTGGGCGTACCTTGAACAAATAAGGCTAATGTTCTGTGGAAGTCTGTGATCGATGATGGAATCTCTGTCGGAAAATCCACAAATTCTATTTTATTTTTTTCAGAGTTTCTGAAAGGTGCAGCAACTACGACGATATCATACTCTCTACTGTTAGTTTTGCCGTCAGCTGTATTTTTATAATTCACTTCATAAGAAACATCAGTACTGTCTTTCTGTAATATCACCTGTGTTACCTCGGCATTGATCAGCGTAGCCTTGGACTTCTTCAATAGTCTCTCAGGTATTTGGAAGTTACCTCCCTTGACTGCCCATAACCCTTTCTCAACTCCAGCCAGGGATACAGCCCCTAAAAACAACAAATATAATGGATTGTCATAATATTTAAGCTACTTGGGTACGAAAAACAAACTCATATATCAATTAGATAATCAATGAAATTGTAATCTAATATTTTATCAAATAATTTCAAAATATTTCAGCCATTTTGAGACTAACCAATATGTTAATTTTAGATTTAATAATTAGCTTGTATGCTGTTTTGCAAGAAAATGGAGAATCCATGGAAGGTTCAGTGACAAAGATAAAATAAACTTATTATCCATAATGTAGCATGTTATACAACTCTGGAGAGAGAGATAGAGAGAGATGGGGTTTAACGTCCACTCGACACAAACTAGGTCATTTCGGGACTAACATATGGTTTAATGTTATTTAAATAATTCGCTTGCGCGTAGGGGTCTTTAGCAGTGGGAGAAAAATGGAGGACCTGGAGAAAAGCCAAGAGATTGGACAGGTTACCCTACTCCTTGTCACGTACCTGGTACAACCGAGGATTCGAAACCACGCCAGTTGACTCAATGACAGGCCTTATGATACAGCATGCACGTGCTAACCATTCGACCAACCCCTACATACAACTTACCAGCACTAAATACTCTCCAAGAAGCATGGTATTTGTGTTATTAGCACAACCATTGCATTAAAATAATAGGTCACATTTAACGTGGATGTATATTCTCGTCCCTCCGCAATTGAATACTCTGCAATCTTAGCATTCTTTACTGGTAGAAATTTTTATCAAATTTTGATAAAATTCAAAATATTTCAATCACAAATATTTAAATTATAAAATCTTGTGAATAAGATAAAGGACAAGGTTGTTGATGGGATTTTGAAATTTAGTGTGATCGTTCATGAGCAGATAAGGAAGAACCCAATCAAATTTCAAAAAAATTTAGATCACAAATTTTAAATGCATTTTAGAGTTAGAGTTATCTTTCCAGTCACATTTTGACTGTAACCTGGGTATCATTTAATCTTGTGTATCTAGCACTAATTTCTTTCACATTCATTTAATATCAAATATATGTTTAAAAACTCATAAAAATCATTTTAAATCACAAAAAGTCATCTAATTTGTACTTGTGTCCATTTTAAAGCTGACTGATTAATTTTGATAATGAATGTCCAATTTACAAGGGTTTAATTTCCTGACCACTGTTCAAAAATTAATTATACATCATTTATCAATTTGGTTGTTTATTTTTTAACAGTGATCAAGAAATTAAACGCTTGTAAATTGGACACTCATTATCAAAATTGAATGGTCAGCTTTAAACTGATTTTTGACGATTTTTTCGAGTTTTTAAACCAAGACTTGATATTGAATTAGCGTGAAAGAAATTAGCGCTAAATACACAAGATTAAATTATACCCAGGGTGCAGTGTTTGTTCATTCAAACAATCCATATGACAATATGACTGTTCCTTGCCAGCCCCGCTGTCCTGTACCACTGACAAGGGGAAATGAAATGAAATGAAATGTGGTTTAACGTCCTAATATTCTGCTGAACTGGGCTAATGAAGATGGGCATACGCCATACAGTGTGCTATGAAGGAAATTTTGCCCAGACAGCAGCACTACGATCTACTCTTATATCGAATTCCACCTGTCAAGGGCTCTTTTACATGCACGCCAATGTGTACACAGGACCTCATTTTTTGTCCCATCCGAACGACTAGACAGCTGTCCTTGTCAGGCCCTCCATCCTGCATCACTGACAAGGGGAACCACACCAGAAAATCTGGATGAACTTTCGCAGCCAATGCAGGGATCGAACACCCGACTTCCAGGCTAGCGAGCCAGCATCTTGCCCACTTAGCCACCGTGATCCCCCTGACAAGGGGAAACCATGCTGGAAATCCCAACATGCATCTCAACTGACATAACAAGGCATTATCTACTGTTCAGTCAATCAAATATCAAAATCAATACTTGCCTACAAAGGCATGCACATTTGTAGTCTGTCCATAGTTTGTTCTCAGTGCACCCATGGCTATTTCATTAATAAATCTTTCGGAGTAGCCTTTTTCTTCCAGTAAGGTTTGGAGAGTTATTTTGGTAAAATTAACAAAGGATTCATCCATTGCTCGAAGTAATTCTTCAACAGTTGTAAAAGCCAAACCTTCATCTTGTAAATTGTAAATTCTGAAAAAAAAAAGTTAAAACAATTTTGTAATGTGCTTCTCCTTCTCCCCACAGCATTTTGCAGACTTATTCTTATTCAACAAGATTATATGATGATTTTTGCACTTATTCGAAAAATGAAATTAAATCAAATTGCTGAAACCATACATTTTTGCTAGCACTATTAGCAAACATACATATATCATATCTTACACTATCACACAAGGACAACCACCACCTATTTACTAAAGCGATGGCAAAAATTCAGAAACAAACTTCCCTAATATAAGAAAAGTTTTTGGAGAACTTTTTGTAAGATTGGTATTTGGAAATTTGTTGTTCAAGAAGGTAGGCCAACTTTTTTATTTTTCTAAAATTAACTTTATCTTTATATTTCTATACAATTAAATCAAACAAAAATACAATTTACAAATCAGATTGTAAAACAACTATTGATTTTAAAATAAAAATGTTAATTTTAGTGTACAAATGTCAAAGTACAAATGAAGGAAGAAGAATAAGGGACTGACTATGAATTAGGAACTAAGAATTAAGAACACTGAATAAAGAGCTGTTTGGTCTTCCATACTACTGACAGTGGCTACGCATACATGTAGTTACACCACTTGAGCAAGTGTTACAATTAAAGCTACATACCTATCAAACTTGTCAAAGAATGTTTCTTTGAGAAATGTTTCTATGTTCGAGACATCAAAACCATATCTCCAAAAGAATTTAGCCATGGTTACTAGATTCCAAGAACAGCTTTCTATAATAACACCAGAATTACCGTATAAAGCCATTCTTCCACCAGTGGATGTCCGCTGTTCATATCCTATAAATAACATAATCTACATTTTAAAGAGTAATTACCATTTTCGGGAAAATTTTGAATTTCTGATGATTTGATTTTATACTTTACAAAGGGAGAGACAGAGGAATGGGGTTTAACGTCCACTCGACACAAACTATGTCATTTCGGGACAAACATATGGTTTTAATTTTATTTCAATAATTCAGTTGTGCGTAGGGGTCTTTAGAAGTGGAAACCAGAGGATCCGGAGAAACCCCACGAGGATGGACAGACGACCCTACTCCTTGTCACGTACAACCAGGGATTCGAAACCACACCAGTTGACCCAATGACAGGTCTTATGATACAGCGCGCATGTGCTAACCATTCGGCCATCCAACCCCCACGTTACAAAGGAGGTATACATGTATGTATTCAAATTAGATCACTGTTAAGCTGATACCCTTCTCAACCTAGGTTATTTAGCAATGCAAAAAAAAAAATTCATTAAATCATACAAGTGATCATTACTTTAACTAATGATTAGTATGTATAGAAATTGTTAAGAAATTATACAGTAGCCCCTCCACTGCTGAGACCTAGGCTATAGCATTATCAATTTATGACGAAAGGATATGAATTGATCTTAACATCTCAGATAAGACTTAGCCAACAGAAATATCAACTGATAACAACAAAATAGGAATTTGACTTTGTTCTATTGTCATGCATGCAATGCTAGGGAGAAGAATTTTGCCAGGACTGCAGTGTTCTGGTCTACTCTTTATCAAATTCCAACTGTCAAGTGTTATTTAACATGCACTCAGTCAGCCCTGCAGGCACTACCCCCCTGTTCTCAGCCTGCGCCAGGCAAAGCTGCAGCAACAACCATAGAGCCTAACAAATCATTACTGAAAAATCCTGAAAGGAAATCTTAGAGATTGGTATTTATTGATAACTTATTTATGCTTGTAAATAACATGTATGGGTGTTATCTCCAAACCAAGGCAAAATCAAACATTATGCAGAAGAGGATGAATGACTCAAAAAAAAAATGAAACATGTTTCTTACCAAACTGTTTTGCGAATTCGACCATGTATTTATTTTTTGGATGAAGGATACTTCCCCCTGCTTCATATTCTACTCCATCTATATTAATGTTGGCTAATCTCCCTCCAACTCTCTCACTCTCGAACAGATCAATCTTAACGCCATCTCCAAACAATTTCCGTAAATAATAAGCTGTTGAAGTACCACTGATTCCACCACCTATTATACCTGTAAATATATCATCATTGTAAATTACCAAGGTCCGTGGTCAGGAATTTAAGCAGGGAAGTTTGGCGAGAGGTCTACCAAGAATTTTATAAAATCAGAAGCTCTGAGACAATATTACTGTTCATTTAGCCAATACACTAAAAAAGTTAAGGTATATTTATTGTCTTAGCCATAATTGATCGAAGCCCTGTAATTTAACCATGACTGTGAGATAATATTACATGTACCAAAGACACTAAAGAATTAACATAAATCTGTTGTCTTAGCCACAATTGATCGAAGTCCTTTAATCTAACCATGACCACACAAGTTAATTTGTTTATTATTATCTGTGTATGTCTCTCCCCCCCCCCTCTCCTCAAACTAAAATAAGTTATTGTACTTATGATTGTATTGTACTCTGGGCAAATAGTAAATATAAATATGAGGTAATGATGTGGTTAAATTTTGAAGATTTTTTATCAGACACATTTAGGTACATACATGTATTGGTTTATAAAATTGTATAGATAGATGAGTTGATTTGTGGACATGGTCACATAAATAATAATTAGTACAATTATAAAGTGGCAAACAGATGACACACTGTTTACTTCCTGTTATACTACTTCATAGTTAGGCCTGTCTTTGTGTGTTAAAATAAAAACCTGTGCAACAGATGTGAAAAGCTGGATAACAAACAATATGCTTTCAATACAATCAGACAAAACAAAAATATTATTGATTGCCTCAATGCATAGCGTAGACTATAAAATTGAACCAGGTACAACATTAGGCCACTTAAAAAAGTACCGGTAATTGTAATTTAATATATTACATTGCAATGTCATTGCCACCATGTCTGACTATGAATGAACGGGATATCTGAGAGCAAGTAAAAAGCCTACATGTACATGTCAGACCCCAAGTAATGTGAGGAAGAGCGCATGATTGACATTGTTTAAAGAATACATTTTGGCAATTTGGTTTTGAACATCGTCAGGGGGTAATGGCCTTAATCTTAAAATTCAGTCAAAATCTTGGTTTCATAACTTTCATCATGAACAGCAACTTATTAATGGAAAAAAATAACGTTTCCAGTGCAAAAAGGGTAAGTAAGTTTAACTAGATAAATAAAAATAAATAGATAGAGATACTGTTCCCATACATTTCGACTATGATGACGTACTTGTTCATAATATGTAGGTATATGCAGGCATGCATGTGTGGCAATCAGCAAGATTTTACTGTATTGGTTGACTACGTTTGCAGCTATCCCCAAAATAAGCGCTATTCATTGGTTGTTGGGGGGTTGGATGGCCAAATGATTAGCATGTGTGCACTGTATCACAAGATCTGTCATTGAGTCAGATGCTGTGGTTTTCAAATCCCTGGTTGTACCATACGTGACAAGGAGTAGGGTCGCTTGTCCAAACTCGTGGGTTATCTCCGGGTCCTCTGGTTTCCTCACACTGCTAAAGACCCATACATGCAAGCGAATTATTGAATTAAAATTGAACCATGCGTTAGTCCCGAAAAGACCTACCATAGTTTGTGTCAAGTGTCAACGTCAAACCTCATTTCTCTATCTCTCTCTCTCTCTCATTGGTTGTTGTTTGGTGTTTCCCCAAATCTCCTGATATGATGCAAAGAAAATTGTTCACCTCTAACGCCTCATATTCGAACTTTAAATTCTTTCAAGTATTTCATGTGCGCTTTAGATTTCAAAGTTTCGCTTGAAATCTTTGCATCTACAAACACTGATTTGACTCTCAGGATTCAATCAAAAGTATGTACATGTAGGACCTTAATACATCATAGGATTATTTCAACTTTCATTGCAGTCTGATGTCCTCAAGTGTTATTGTTAAGTGCCATCATTTGAGGCATGCTGTCTTTTCAAGCCCTTTTCAATGATACCAATCATTTTAATATTGACCCATTTTGAATTTATTTGCCACATATTTTACTACCCGGCCGACTACCGGGTATTTACCAAGAATTACAAATCTTAATATTGACAGCTTACCTATCCTGGTGGCTTCTTGGTCATCTTCTTCATCTTGAATACTAGGGCCAGCCATACTAAAGATCAGTAGAATACACACAATATACCTCCACATCTTGAATCAACTATAAATATTTTGGCTACTTGTTTTGTCTGCATATGGTAAATTTTTACAAAGCCTCAAAGGTGCCGGCAATAAAAGTATGTTAGAGTTATCTGCTCCTTCTCATTGGCTAACTTTTATAGTTTCGTAAATAATGCTATCGAAAGGTTCTTTCAACAACTTCACCGAAAACTCTTGTATAAATTCTATAAATAAGTATATGCACTTTAGAAATGACCGATACACTATTTTGATAATATTAACTCTGAAATACATGAAAATCGAATACTAAGATTTTGAAAATGCTAGCTTTGAATTAACAGAAAAGAAAATGTCAGCCCCCATAAGAAAAACAATTTGGATGTCTATTCGTTATTTAAACGTCTGCAAGAAATGTTTCTCAGCTATATCCAGAATATACTTACCTGGTTCTGTTGCAGTAGCCACTTTAGCTAGATGTAATATTCAGACAATTATTCCGTTACCAAACACTGATGAAATCTCAAAAGAGGAGGTAATGTGTTTAATAGTTTTGTTCATCCAGACAGACATGGTGTTCGATCCCTTCATTGGCCGAGAAAGTTCATCCAGATTTTCCGGCATGGATTCCCCTTGTCAGTGATGCAGGACGGCGGGCTTGACAAGGACGGCTGTTTAGTCGTTCAGATGATACGGAAAACCGAGGTCCCGTGTACAAATTGGCGTGCATGTAAGAGATCCCTTGGCCTTGGAATCCGATATAAGATAAGAGTAGGCTGTAGCGCCGCTACCCGGGCAAAATAGCACACTATATGGCATATGCCCGTCTTCATTAGCCCAGTTTAGGAGCAAAACAGTAGGACGTTAAACCCCATTTCATTTCATTTCATCGGACGTATTTTGCTACAGCGTGTTGTGTCCCTCATACTGGTTCTAGCAAGGTCAGATTTTCTCACTAAATGTTCATTTACATTGTTCAGGCGTTCACAGGGAGTGACACACAACCGTTTAGCAGTTAAAAAAAAGTTGCCAGTAAAATTTACTGAGTAGTGAAATTTTTTTCGACAAGTATTCAATAGGACGGTGCCTGAACGTACAGGGCGAGTGTAATGAGACCTACGTTCAGAGCTGAACTACGATAGCATGTGCATTGTTTACATCAGATGTACATGTACATGTAATAACTCAAACTGGTCCGGCCAGACTTGGTGACTTTTACTCATTTTAAGCCTCCACATACATGTACTATTTTATGTACCCATTTACACTAAATAGGAAATACTTTTTATCCAGATATACTTCTAACACCTTTATTATGTTTCTTAATAATTTTAAAAAAATATTTTAGAATTTAATTTGCAGAAAAATAAAAGTTAATATTGATTTCTAATTAACTTTATCTGATATCACCCCTCCCATCCCTCTCAGTGATAGAAATGGCCAAGCAAATATTTACTGCTGATCAGTTTGGTGTTTTACATTGCATAGCAATTTTCTTCTCACTCTATCTCAGTTGTCGAGACTGATCGAACTGTGACAGGTGACAAAATTCAGACTGACAATCAAGCATCCTCCTTGACATGAACAAAAAACTTCAAAAAAACCTTCATCTGTAGGTCATACATGTATCAGTCTGTAGGGCATTTGTTATATTGGAGAAGTATCAAAAGGCAATTTTATGGTAGACATGTATGACGTATGTAAACATATTATTATCACAAGACGATGCCATACTATGTTTGTTGAATTTATATGTACAATGTTTGAGATAATAATCATAACCAGGAAATACCAAATGTTGTTTAATAAAAAAATTTATGTATTAATGTATATTCCAGTAAATGACGAAACTTTATTATCTGTTCAGGTTAAGCTGAGTGATAAGCACTTTGATTGCTAGATGCTTTATAAAACAACTAATCTCTAATTATTTTGGGAGACATCAGCCTCACTTTTGGATTCTTTTTTTTTTTTTTTTAGAGCTTGGGAGAAAACCTATCGACCAAAACTTTAATTAGAAACGGAAGTGTTTGTACAGTAGACACAGCTACATCACTACTAACACAGACCACAACCAGCTTGTTACAGATGGAGAACGAGTATGTTCAGGTTATTTTTTTCTTCAGTTTTCATAAAAATGAGAAATGTTTTTATTATAAACAACTTGTTATTCATGTACATATGTAGCTTGATTTAACAAGTGCTGCCTCTGGTGTATGCGGAGCCACGGTGGTTAAATGGGTAAGATGCTGGCTCACTAGCCTGGAGGTTGCGTGTTTGACCCCTACATTGCCCGAAAAACTTCATCGGAATTTTCTGACGTATTTTCCCCAGGTCAGTGGTGCAGGACAGAGGGCCTGACAAGGATAGCTGTCTAGTCATTTGGATGGCATGAGAAACCAAGGTCTCGTGTACACATTGGCATGCACGTAAAAGATCCCTTGGCTCATAATCCACTAACGATCGCAGACTACCGATGTCATCGAGAGTTGATTATCTTCTGGATAAGTTAATTAATGTCTATTTAATAAATTAGATAACATTTCAGGCCTATAGAAAGACCTGCATTAGGCAGATTTAGCTTTTGCATAATGTATGTTTAATTTAGATCATATCTATACTAAACATACATTATGCAAGAGCTAAATCTGTCTATTGCAGGTCTTTCTTTAGGCCTGAAATGTTATCTAAATTATTAATTAAACATTTATTAACCTATCTAGACCATATTCAACTCTCGATGGCATCGTAGCCTGCGATCGTTAGTGGATTATGAGCCGATTTACTGCATAACTTTCCATCACAATTTAATGATTAAATGGATAATCGAGACTATGCTGTTTATCGTACTGACTTTAGTAATGATGATCGGGGCTAGACGGAAATTTCAATTGCTTAATTCTCGGTTCATAGTTATAGTGAGAACTGCCAACTCATTATCTAATCTCCCATAATGTATCTTTAATATTATCTGGTATTATTTTTTAGGCTGTACACAAGTTAACAGATATGTTATCATATAAACTACAGGTTCTTGATAATGATGCTGAGCTAGAAATAGTCTGGGATCTTGTTCTACAATTTAAGTCAGATGTAAATGAAATTAAAAGGAAGAAAGAGGTAAACTCAACCATTGCACGTGTTTCAAGAATAGAAACACTTTTTATATGCCAACATGTTAAAGATGCATTATATAAGAATTAAATATGCTTATTGCGGGCATAGGCGTACGGACTCGATGACAGTTAGGGGGACAGAACCCGAAATGCCCGAAAAAATTTTGGGTTTACAGAGAGCGCCAGTCTTCCTTGACAGGCGAAGAGAGCGGAGCTTACCTTGCCCCCCCCCCATCACCCCCCCTCACCCCCCTCAAAAGAAAATTTTGGAATATTTGACGGCTGCTCCAGACAATATGTTTTAATCCATAGTCAACTCAGTACAAATTCGTGGTATTCAATTAAAAGAAAAGAAAAAATTGTTGTTATATTAGGGCTCGATAACAGTAAGGGAGGCAAAACTAAAAATGCCCGAAAAAATTCGAGTTTACGGACAGTGGCGCCGGTTTTCTTCGAGAGGTGAAGAAGCGGAACTGACCTTGTATGGACCCCCCAAGAAAATTTTGGAATATTTGACAGCCGCAAACGTGTTTTCCTGCTATTCCAGCCCGTAAAATTAGTGTTTTATTAGATTTTGGGCACTTTATTTTGCCAAGTAGATGAAATAAAAAAAAATTTTTCACTTTACCCGTCTGCCCGAAAAGTCAGCTTGCCCGCGGGTCTTTTCTCTGGCTTCAAATGTTATATAAATTATTATTTAGACATTTATTCACATGACAAGTCGACAATCAACTACGTAGACCATCGGATGGCTGAGATATTATGTGGATTAGAAAATGTCTGTCATATCTTTGTTACACATTAAAATGGAAAATAAAGACTACGCTTATTATTGTAGCAATTGTACTTGACAATCAAGATGTTCTCTTTTTATCGGGGGGGGGGGGGATCACGTGGCTAAGTGGGTAAGACGCTGGCTCGCAAGCCTGGAGGTTGAGCGTTCGATGCCTGCATTGGCCGAGAAAGTTCATCCAGATTTTCCAGCGTGGTTCCCCCTTGTCAGTGATGCAGGAAGGAGGGCCTGACAAAGACAGCTGTCTAGTCGTATGGATGGGACGAAAAACTGAGGTCCCGTGTACACATTGGCGTGCACATAAAAGATCCCTTGACAGTTGGAATTCGATGTAAGAGTAGGTCGTAGTGCCACTGTCCGGGCAAAATTTCCCTCATAGAACACTGTATGGCGTATGTCCGTCTTCATTAGCCCAGTATAGGAGCAGAACAATAGGACGTTAAACCCCATTTCATTTCTTTTTATCGGTTAGATCTATTTCCTCATAGGTCACAAGATGTAAACAGGGCTAGACTTAACCCAAGCCTTAACCCAAACCCAAGACCTACCTAAGCCTTACCCTATTCCTAACCCACAATACTTGGCAACAATTACGTGCCCTAACCCTGTTTACATCTGGTGACCTTGGGGAAAACTGCAAGTGGCCATGTGAAATAGATGTAACCCCTTTTTTATCCTCATCTCCAGTTACAATTGCTCAGTAATGTTATATTTTCCAGGAGATGGAACAACTTTACTCAAGTGTTCAGAAACTAATGGATATTTCTGCCGAAGTTGCATTTATTGCTGGTATGTTGTATACTAAACAATTAGTGTTGTATAGTCATTCGGATGGGACAAAAACCTGACAGCCTGTCTACAATTTGGCATGCACGTACAAATGTAGGCCATAGCACCGCTGTCCGGGCAAAATTTCACTCATAGCACACTTTATGGCGTATCTCCGTCTTCATTAGGACGTTAAACCCCATTTCAATTCTTTTTTTCATGGGTTTTCTCCAGGGCCTCCAGATCTCCCACTGCTAAAAACACTTATGTGCAAGCGAATTATTGAAATTTTTTAACTAAAATTGTATCATAAGGTCTGTCATTGAGTCAACTGGCGTGGTTTCGATTCCGCAGTTGCAGTGACAAGGAGTAGGGTCACCTGTGCAACTTTGCGGGATTTTTCATGGTCCTCCAGTTTCCTCCCACTGCTAAAGACCCCTACATGCAAGTGTATTATTGAAATAATTTGTTAGTCCAAAAATGACCTAGTGTGTGTCGAGTGGATGTTAAACCCACCTCTCTCTCTCTCTCTCGCTCTCTCCCCCCCCACCACTTTGAATAGAATCTGGTGCTTATGACCACTCACTGGAAACCAGAGGGTTGTTTTGGACAGGATCAAACTTTGTTCTATAATTTCTGATAAATTAATGTACTTTCCTTTTGTGTTTCAGGAGCAGAGTATGCTGGTACATGTGCTGGTGAAAGACTTTACAGTTCTCAAAGACAATTAGAAATGACCCGTGCCTTAACAGCTGAAGCAGAAAAACAACTGAATCAGGTGGAACTGAGCGACATTGAAGCGACAACAAAGCACCATGAGAAAAAGGAAAAAGAGAAATCAGAGAAATCAGAACAAGATAAAATGGACAAATAGCCCTAATTATATTTCTTAATTGATTTATAACTAATTATATTTCTTAATTGATTTATAACAATTAATGTATAAAGTAAACTGTAAATAAAAAAGAATCTATATTCATTTTGATTAATCAATTAAAGGGGCATTATGTAAGATTTCCATACATAAAGAACTAGCCTTTCTTGCTATATGCAAAATGAATATATTGAAAATTTCATTCAAATTATTTGTTTTTGAGCAAAGTTATCAATGGTTATAGTTTTGACAAGATGTGTTCATTGATCATAACTTTCCGATGTTCTGTTGCCTGACAACTTATCTTTGCATGTTGTAATAAACTGTACACCAGTTTGGTGCCAGTAATTAATCCATGAAGAAGGTTTTGCTTGCACATGACAAAAATTAAGGACAGGTACCTTGCATTGTTGATCTTCAATGAAAATTTTAAAGCTTGAGTCCTAATAGTAAGTGCATGTACAGGACTATTTGGAAGCTTAAAATAGACGAAAATGGACCTAAAAGCACATGAATGATATGAATGTATATACATGTAAGGTGAATTAGATTTTGAAAAATTTATTCTAATTTCTAATCAATATTTTGTTCCATGAATTACTCGAACAGTCCAAATAAAACATCTGTTGTTTACCTTTGCTTAGCCCATTTTCCGCCTTGTCTTGTGGTTTGTGAATCAGTCATTACTAAATACTTTCACATTGTCTTGTAAGATATGTTTTTCTTTATTCAAAACAAATGGCGCCCGAAACCATTGGATACACGACTGGTGTACTGATTATAAAATGTTCATTTTGTCTTAGATATTAGAATCCCAAATTTTCAAGGCAAGATAGCAACATCAATATTGATTGAAATGGACCAAAATTGAATTCTAATTCCTGTTTTATTATAGATAATATTGAGTTAGAGATTTAGCTACTTAGGTAAATGGTTAGCAAGTGCGTGCTCATTGTATCACAAGGTCTGTCATTGAGTCAACTGGCGTGGTTCTGATTCCCGGTTGTACATGACAAGGAGTAGCGTCGCCAGGCTAACCTGGTGGGTTTTCTCTGGGTCCTCTGGTTTTCTCCCAATGCTAAATACCCCTATGCGCAAACGAATTATCGAAATAAAATTGAACCATATGTTAGTCCCAAAATGACATAGTTTGTGTCGTGTGGACGTTGAACCCCATTTCTTTCTGTCTCTTCCCCCTTTAGATAATTTTCAGTGGTAGTGGTATTCTGAGCCGTTTGTATCCTCTTATCCTAGAGTGGTGGTTCGCGAACCGTAAATCAAAACTTCGGAATTCATTTGGTGACTATAACAACATTTCATCAGACGATTTTACAGATTTAGATAAAAACATGAAGAAGTACTTGATGAGAGAATCACAAGGGGAGTCAAGTGGCGTGGTTTCGATTAAAAAAGGAACCATAAGTTAGTCTCTCTCTCATTGGCGTGCTCGTAAAAAGTTCCCTTGAGAGTTGGAATTCGATATAAGAGAAGGCCGCAGTGCCGCTGTCCGGGCAAAATTTCCAACATAGTACACTGTATGGCGTATTCCCGTCTTCATTAGCCCAGTCGAAGCAGAACAATAGGACGTTAAACCCCATTTCATCAACTTACCACTTTACGACTATCCGTAAAAATTAACCAACCCCTGCCTCTCACAAATGACCAAAATGCCACTGAGTTAGAGATATATAAAAACAGTGATGTCCAATTTGAAAAATAATTTTTAATCATTAAAAAAAAAAACAAGCAGCTTAAACAAAAAAATCTTTTTTTACAGATCACGTACTAATAATTACCGTCATGTCAAGTTGAAGTGTATCGCAGATCACTTTTGATTATAGGAGAATTTAAAGGGACAATTTGAAAAATAATTTTTAATCATTAAAAAAAAACAAGCAGCTTAAACAAAAAAATCTTTTTTACAGATCACGTACTAATAATTACCGTCATGTCAAGTTGAAGTGTATCGCAGATCACTTTTGATTATAGGAGAATTTAAAGGGACAATAACACTCTTGCTGGCTTGACAGCTCCAGAAAATAAAAAAAAGCCTTATTCTAAGTACTAGATGTGTTAGTGTCCTACCTGTTGTGTATATTATCCATTAAATCATATTTTACTTTTCCAGAGGGTTCAAAAATATTTTTAAATCCAAGTCACATTTGAAAAGCTTTACGTCAGGCTTTTCAAATCATTTGGTTGAATTTTTCCAATTTTTTAAGTTAGGGGTGTTAAGATGAAATTTGTATCATCAATTAATTGGAATATTGTAAAATAGTACAATTTGTTGACCAGAATAAAGATTGGGACATATTCAGTTACAACAAGAGTGGTATTGAGCCTTTAATATCTGGGGCCTGTTTCACGAAATTTTAACTAAGATAAAATCCAAATTTTAGTAATTTGATTGGATAATATTAGATAGATTTTAGTGCTTAGCCAATCAAAATTGAAGTAGCTATTAAAATTGGGATTTTATCTTTAGTTAAGATTTCGAGAAACAGGGCCCTGATCTTCACGGGTCACTCTCCCACGTAGCCTACGTGAAGAATACGAATTCACAGTTTGTTTTGCTGCGTTTTGATCTTGTTTATAAATTTATACATATATCAGAATATATGCAACCCTAACAATCAAGGAGGGGTTGGATGGCCGAATGGTTAGCACGCGCGCGCTGTATCATAAGGCCTGTCATTGAGTCAAGTGGCGTGGTGTCGAATCCCCGGTTGTACGTGACAAGGAGTAGGGTCTCCTGTCCAATCTCGTGGGTTTTCTCCGGGTCCTCCGGTTTCCCCCCACTGCTAAAGACCCCTACGCGCGAGCAAATTATTGAAATAAAATTAAAACCATATGTTAGTCCCGAAAAGACCTAGATTGTGTCGAGTGGACGTTAAACCCCATTTCTCTCTCTCTCTAACAATCCAGTTGTTCTCGCCTTTTTCGTACGGTACTCCCTGGGGAAGTTTTACAAATCTCTTACATCTGTATTTACTCTAATGTAAAGGGTCGTTAGGACTTGCTACCAATTTTCACTATAATCTGTGATAAACCGTCGTGGCACATCAATCCATAGCAAGAGGATCGACAATTCTGTTCAAATTATTTGCTTGATAACGATATCAGTATGTCTATCGAAACGTAGCATGTTAATAAATTCAGAAGTTTTATATCCATATAAGTGTTTTTAATTTGTGAAATCTACCTCTATATGTCTTATATGGATTAAATAAAAATCGAAACGAAATAGGATATGTGCTTTAAGCAGATTGAATTTTACTTGGCTCTATTTTATTCGCGGACGCCCTTGACTTCACGGATCCCTAAATATCCCAGGTCGGGAAACACTGAGTTGTATCATGTGTATTGTGTATGTTGCTGGAAAAAATTAACAGACAGGTTCTGAAAAAAGCGCATTTCTACATTCAGTTTGTTAGTGGTGAAGTTTGCCTTCATAAGTTCAGGATGTAATTTGTTTGTAATTTATTTATTAGTCTTCGTTTGGTTTTGGGAGTTCTTCATATCTCACAGAAACATTTTGATGAACGGCGTACTTAAACGATAACAAACCTTCAACGGTCCACGTAACATACGACACGTTTGGAGAAAACGTTACGTCTCGGGCGATATCCTCGGCCTTGTCTTTGAGGATTGTAGGCAAGTCATTCTGGAGATAGAACGGGGGGTTCAGGGGGTTCAAACACGTCGATATCTTCACCCCAACTTCACCACGTATCGTTACTTGCGTTTTGTATTTGCAAGACGATTCCTTTTCCTCAACGTTCAAAATGGCGACTGTCCTTTTGTTACCGGGGGCATTAATTTTCGTGTCGATTGACCATTTAAACTGAGTCGTTTGAGTATCTGCTGTAGATCTGTTGATGGTTACTTCACGACCATAACCAGCAGTAAATTTGCCCAATGCATCTGGAAGGGGTATCGTTAAACCAACATTCCAACCCCTTCTAAACCCCTTTTGCATGGTCGTTGTCAACGACGCCGTTGTCGTTCTTTCGGTTTTAAACACATTTTCTTGGAGATCGCCTGTGTGGTTATCAAAATGTGATTTAAATACGGTTAGGGCCTCAGGCACGTCGATGTGCATCTCTTCGCTAAACGTTGTCTCGCTATTGGTGAACACCACGTGATCCCAGTTGACCTCTAGAATATAATCTGACAATTTACTGGAGGGGTGATTTTTCTTGAAATATGTCCACGCCCATGTTTTTATTATTTCTTCTATGTCTGTTACCTGGTGAACCATTTTAGCCTGTAAATAAAATTAAATAAAATGGTGATGAGTGATAACAAAATACAGTGATGGCCAGAGAGAGAGAGAGAAATGGGGTTTAACGTCCACTCGACACAAACTAGGTCATTTCGGGACTAACATATGGTTTAATTTTATTTCTATAATTCGCTTGCGCGTAGGGGTCTTTAGCAGTGGGAGGAAACCGAAGGACCCGGAGAAAACCCACGAGGTTGGACAGGCGACCCTACTCCTTGTCACGTACAACCGGGGATTCGAAACCACGCCAGTCGACTCAATGACAGGCCTTATGATACTTTATGATACAGCGCGTGCACGCTAGCCATTAAGCCACCCCCCACCCCCAGTGATGGCCAGAGAATGTCCACTATAGGGGATGGAACACATTTAACATAAATCTTAGATTCGATCACTCAGAAAAGAGGAAGATTGGATGAAACGTCTGCCGCAATAGAGTTGTTAGGTGACGGAATGGTTTTACGTTAGTGTCCGCTATAGATCAGCCAAAGATATGTCATTGAATCAAGTGACATGGCGTTGATTGCTCGCTTGTAGGTGACAAGGACGAGGGTCGCCCGTCCAACATTATAGGTTTTACCGGGTCCTCCGATTAATAAATTATGTGCATGACTTCCCGTCCGAGATATACTCCACAGACCACCATTTAAGTTCGAAATTTCAAAACATTTCTCGGGTGGAAGACCCCAAGTCCCCCTAAACTCCGGAGAGGAGAGAATCCCCGCTCCCCTAAAAAGTTCACTGCCCTGGCTGCGGGCCTAGTCTATTTTGAAGCCAAATTTTAGTCTTTTTCACCAGACAGATTTGCGAGCAAAGAGCCAGTTAAATCAAGACACGGGTGATCACATATGATTCCCTTCACGCGTGATCATGGGCGGATACATATGGGAGGTGCCGGGTTTTTTTTTTTTCTCTCGCAAGAAAAAGTCCCAAAGATTTGTCATTTAACTTAGTAATGATTTATCATTATGTTATATAAATATACTACTTCTGAATTTTATTAACATGCTACGTTTCAGTACACATACAGGTATCGTTATCAATCAAGCTTGATAACGATACCTGTATGTGTATTGAAACGTAGCATGTTGATAAAATTCAGAAGTAGTATATCCATATAAGTGTGTTAATTATAGTATAATCTATTTCTATATGTCTTATAAGGATTATGTTATATAAAATGTTATAAAATCTGAGAAGGTACAATCAACATAAAAACGTAAAAAGTATATACGTGTATGTATATATCAAGAGAGAGTGTGTGTGAGAGAGAGAGAGAGAGAGAGAGAGAGATTTTAATGTTCACTCGACACAAACTAGGTCATTCGTGACCAACATATGGTTCAATTTTATTTCCATAACTCGCTTGCGCGTAGGGGTCTTTAGCAGTGGGAGGAAACCGGGGGACCCGGAGAAAACCCACGAGGTTGGACAGGCGACCCTACTCCTTGTCACGTACAAGCGGGGAATCGAAACCACGGCAGTTGACTCAGTGACAGACTTGATGATACAGCGCGCACGTGCTAACCACTCAACCATCCAATCCCCCATCAAAGAGCTAGGATGAATTATAATCCGCCCGAGATTATGATGTTATGTTGCATATAGATTCCCTTTGTGACATACTGGGTTTTTCGTACTTTTTGACATTGGCGATTAAGGTCATCGGAGCGTTAAAAAATGTTATAAGATATGAACATGTTATGGATTTGACAGGGGGAGAATTACTGGTCTGAACCCATATAACGGTCACGTGCACATAAAATATGTCTGTGCTTGTTTGGTGTTTCAATTTCCAGTAGCGAACTAGAGCAGCGCGTGAGTGAGGCATTTATAATACGTAATGTTGGTATTTCCCGATCAATAGGTTTTGTTTCACTTTCAGTATAAGTGTGACGCGAACAACTTGTCATGTCAAGCAATGTCTAGTTGGGTTATGAGAAGGGTATTCCCCAAAGGGAGACAATCGACTCCGCGAAGCTTATTGTCAGAATTGACAATTACGGTGAAATACACTTAAAATACGATTTGTCTCTGATTACATTTGATATATTCCAGTCTAAATGAAGTGTACAGTTGCGTAATCAGTGGAAATACACGGAAACAACGGAAGGATGAACCGAAGCGGAGAAAATGGTTCGTTTAGTGGCTCCGACAGGTCGAATGACTACCTACTGGTGAACGACACAGAAAACATATCGCTCGAAGAAAACGATAACACCACACCAACCAGTGTTATCACTCTCGTCCAACAAGAAGATCTCAAAAGATTGCTTCAAGAAGTTCGTCAACTCGTAGATCAAATAAGAGAAAACGAGGGAGATCCAGTTAAAGCGTGTGAAAGCGTGACAAAAATATGGCACATGTATTACGATAACATTCCTTTTCGCAAAGACGTAGGTGATATTTTGTCTGAATGTGGCTACGTAACTTGTACCTACAGGATGCTAAAATCTCTGAGAAAGCGAGGGTTTTCTCATTGGACTAACAAAAATATATGGAGGACATCCCACAATTTGCTGGACAACGCCTGGAACTATTCTCATGACAGTGACGACTTTGCTGCTGAATTAGCAAGACAAAATGTTTTAGATGTTTTGTTCGATACTCTGATCGATTATGACGGGAAAGTTCCGTCGAAAAAGCCAGAGTATTTTGTTCTGAAGTCTACTTTATCTATAATCAACAATATTGCACGTAGACCTGAAAATAAAGCAATTTTTAAAAATTACCAGAATCCTTTCACGATCCTGATCAAGTTTAAATCTGTTCAGGATGACTTTATTAAAGTTCTGTGTCTGTTAATACTTGCAGCTATAGCTGACGTGAGGGAATCCCATCTGCTAACAGACGATCGAGATACCATACATACCATTATTCAGTGGATGGGTATACAAATTGATGTTGATCAGAGAAAACCTACTCATTTGGGTTTTAGTGCTGCTGAACTTGCTTTCGCCTTGGACAAACTCTCAATTGATGGAAACACGGAAAAGATTCTGGACGGAAGAGCCTTAAATGCCTTCCAAAGGATGTTAAATACAACTGATGTCTACCAACAGACCGGTGCAGCTAAATGTATTTGGACACTTTCCTTTCAACCCTCAGCAAGGAAGAGAATAAAAGACGATAAGAAAATCGTTGACACTTTGAAACGTCTAAAAACTGTTGAAAAAGATGCCCGATTACTTGAAGCTGTTACTGGAGCTTTGTGGGTTTTGTTCGACACAATGGAAAAGAAAACAACCTCAAATGTTGATCCATCCAAGCCGCAGCATGTTTTTATAAGTTATCATCAAAGAGATAAAGAGACGGTCAGGCAAATTTGGCACAGATTGCAAAGGGAAGGCTACGATGTTTGGATTGACCTTGAAAGAATGTCGGGCGATCTACTTGAAGCAATGTCAACGGCAGTTGAAGATTCTTCAGTTGTTATCCTTTGTGTATCAGAAGGTTACAAACAAGATCAACGTTGTCACACTACCGCCAACTATGCTTACAACCAGGAGAAGGGATTTATTCCGCTGTTCATGCAGAGTTCGTACCAACCAGATGGATGGCTTGGTATGTTGCTAGCCAGCAAACTTTACTTTGATTTCAGCGGGGATGTAAATGAAGACTTCGATGAAAATATGGACAGGTTTTTGAGAGAACTTAATATTCAAGTTGCAAAGCAAGGTCCAAAAGCTCTTCCAGACGTTACTAATACTGCTGCTCAACCAATACCTGCATTACTTCCATATAATGAGTCTGGGAATATTCCCCAATCCAGATCCCGATCACCAAGGTTAGATATTCGTGAACCTTCGGTTCCAATTCAAGCTCAACTATCACCAGCAAGCTCAACTGCCCTTGCTATCCCTGAAGTACGATCAGTAAGAGTTCCTCTAACAGCAGGCCCACCGGAAACATTTGCCAGAATGACTAGGCGAGATGTAGAGGAGTGGCTTAAAAGTAATGAGTTAGATGGGTGTGTAGAATATTTTAAATCAATGACCGGGAAGATGTTATGGCAGCTAAAGAGCATGAAGAAAGAAGCCCCTAACCATTACCTTAATATACTAAAGGAGGATTACGAACTGCGAGGAAGTGATATATTAGCATTTGGCCAGGCATTAGATGAACTCGAATAGATGTCACCCCTTAGACTTGTGCACTTCTAGTAATATGTCTAAAAACATGATGCATAAACCACAAGTCATCACTTATGTCCATATTATATCTGAACAGTTTTATAAACAAACGTTTTAGCCAACTTATATCTGAATAGTTTTATATACAAACGTTTAAGTTAACGTATATCTGAACAATGTGTATAAACAAACGTTTTAGCTGACGTATATCTGAACAGTGTGTATAATCACGCGTTTTAGCTAACGTATATCTAAACAATATTCATAAACAAACGCGTTGGCTATATTAACTTCTATCTTAATAATGTTCATTAACAAGCTTTTAGCAATATTAACTGTTAGCCAGGCAGGGTAAGCTTACTCTTCTGGACGCCTGTTACCACTGTTTGTCGTGTATTTTGTACACGGTGAACAGTCCATTTGCTGATTACACTATTTTGCCTATGGTTTGGATTGTTTTACCTGTATTAGTTTAGTTTAAACAATATTTTATTCATTTATTATATCTGAACAATATTCATAAACAAACGTTTTAGCTATTTGAACAGTTTGTATAAACAAACGTTTATGGTAAACTACGCAAGAGAAGTGATTTCACGTCTGTGACACTTTTTTTGAGAACGGTGTGATATAACCTTTGACCCCTTTGAAACTGCATATCTTTTCTATAATATATTTAGTGTGATAAAGAAATAAATTCTCTCTATCTATATGCTTCATTTAAACTTCGGCTGCATTACATTTAAAGGATCACCTGTGGTGTGAGGTATGTCAGTTTTAATGAACAGAGGTGCGATATAGAAGTTTTTGCGAATTTCCAAACCTATTCTCTCATTAATCCTAGCTTCGTTATTTATTTTTTAAAGGATGCGCCCATAACACAATGGCCTACTTCGTCAAATGAAGTGAAATGGGTTTTATCGTCCTTTCTTCCCGAGCGGGCTAATGAAGAGAGGCATACGCCATACAGTTTGCTATGAGGTAAATTTCGAATTCCAACTGCCAAGGGTTCTTCTACGTGCATACGGATGTGTCCATGGAACATCAGGCATTATACCTTGTCGCTTGCCAGACCCTCTGTCCCCTGCACCAGTGACAAGGCGGCCGACAATCGCACTTCGTGTCGATATCCTTATGTAATTTACTCAAACGGTACGATGGGCTGGGGTCTAACATGTGGACTTTAGATCATAAGGTCTGTCATTGAGTCAAGGCGTGTCATCAACCCAATCTCGTAGGTTTTCTCCGAGTCCGCCAGTTTCCTCCTCCACCCTTACGCACAAGCGATTTATTGAAACAAAATTATATGTTAGTTCCGAAATGGACTGGGTTATGTCCAGTGAACGTTAAACCCCATTTCTCTTTTCTCTCATTTCGAAAAATATTTCACAGCTGCAAATTTCCACGAATTTATATCTATTTTCTTTCCATAAAATTCGCTCAGCATGAATTGTAAACAATTCTTAGAAAACTAAAATAGAAATTGTGCCTACTTTCAGTTTCTGTTTAATAACAGCTGTAGTCTCCAACAACATGCCTCTTATATTTCCAGTTTTTGCTGTGTATAATTTTTTCGGGTTGCAAATGAAATGCTAATGTGGTTTAACGTCCTATTGTTCTACACCGAATGGGTTTACGGAGATAGACGGCGAGAGAGAGAGAGAGAGAGGGAGAAATGGGGTTTAACCCCCACTCGACACAAACTAGGTCATTTTGGGACTAACATATGGTTCAATTTTATTTCAATAATTTGCTTGCACGTAGGTGTCTTTAGCAGTGGGAGGAAACCGGTAGGACCCGGAGAAAACCCACGCGGTTGGAGAAGACCGACGGACAGTGTGCTATGTGTGAAATTTTTCCCGGATAGCGGCACTACGGCCTACTCTTATTTCGAATTTTAACTGCCATGGGTTCTTTTTACGTGCACGACAGTGTGTACACGGAACCTCGGTTTTTTGTTTCATCCGAACGACTAAAGAGTCAATGATATAACATTAAACCTCCTCATTTATATTTATAAGATTATGAATTATATTCAGGTTACTTTATTGTTTATTCCTTATTCAATTCTGATGATTTGATTTATTTAATGGTATTAAAACACCGAAGAGACATTGTTGGTCGTACAGTATTGTTTTTTAAAATAATTGACGCATTAAGTATAGCAGCCCCGTAGCCAGCCGGGGGCACCGCGAACCCCCACTCCCTCACTCGAAAAAATTATTTGCCCCCCCCCCCCAAAAAAAGAAAATTGCCGGCCATAGTTCTAAAAATACCTATATACTGTTTGTAATAGACAGCGGTCAGGGATCATTGATTTGGGGACGCGGCACCTTGTTCCCAGACTCATATCAGCCAATTGGTTATGCTGTGACATCTATCTGCCATATAATTTGTACTCACTTGCCTAATGGCCCACTGTCGTGGGGTCCCTGACTTGTCACTATGTTCATTGTCCAGAGAATGCTAGAGAACGATTTTCTGGGCTGGAAAACGCGTTTGCGGCCGTCCAATTTTTAAACTTTTCCGGGGGACGAACCGTGACGGATCATTGCGAGAGCAATAGAGGTAAATGCCTTGGGCCTTGCGATTTTTTTCTATATATTTTTTTTTATATTTGTTAGAAAAAAATAATGCCGACCCATTTTCCAAAAATCGTGAAACATAGTGGCCTTTTTTTCGATGAGTTTTGAAATTATTGGGTATTTGATATCAGCAATGTTTCCATAACTCGAAATCCGAAATATTATTTCTGGTTGACAGGTACCGATCTTGTTAATTGTCCAATATTTCCGTCGGGCATCCGTTTCTCACTCAACCAGCTCGCTTGACAAGAATCGCGAACCAATATGATCGGGGCTCCTTTCTACTGGCCCCCTTTGAACATGATTTCCCGATCGGGATATACTCCACAGACCACCATTTCAGGTCGAAATTTCAAAAAAAGTCTCGGGGGAGGGGGAACCCCCCCCCCCCCCGACCCCTTAAACCCCTTGTCATCTTGTCACTGGGGCCCGGCAGCTAGGCTGCCTCAGGGCCCGGCGACCTCATGATCCGTCACTGGGGAGGACCCCGGTACCACCATTCGTAAGGTGGGAGAATCTCCCCCCCCCCCCCCCCATGCACTGGCCAGCCATTAGTCCGGACTTAAACCTGATTGAACATCTCTGGGATGAAATTCAGAGGAGACTTAATAACGTCGTACCGAGACCAAACACAGCCGATAGATTGCACCAGGCTTTTCTGGTCCACTCCACGTACAGACGCTGCGCTGCTGTTATTGGCACTCGCGGTGGACACATCAGATAATGTCTTGGAATTGTGATGAATTAATCACTAATGTGTCAACATACTGTTCACAAAAATTTATTTTTTTTTGCTGTTTAGTATATAAGATGTCAACTGAAATAAAATACACATATGCTTCATGTGATAATGTGAACGTTAAGGATACCATACGGAACGCAGGTGCATGCAATGTCCTTTATATGGAGCATGCACGCGTAATATTTGCACAATATTGACATTAATTATAATTAAAGATGTAATCTCTAATCCATTAGAGCTGCATAGGTAAAATGTAGGGTTCTACTTGGAACATTGTACATCGTTTATATATTACCCAATACGCTCGTGGATATCAAAAATACAATACAAGATTTTATTCATTTACGAATATACGTATGTGGTCTTTAAAATATACCAACATTGTATGCTCAGCGTTGGAGATTATTCTATTTGCCCCTCAAATATAAAGTAATATACATAAAATATAAGACAATTAAAATATCAAAAGAGACATAATGTAGTTTAGACTTACCTAGAGGAAAAGTATACTTTTAAGAACAACTGGCGTTTATTCAGGTGCTGGTATATACAGTGTGAATGAGTAAAAAGAGACGGGACTCACTCCCATATATACCCTAACGGCGCTAACCCTTATCGTCAGTGTTAAGTAACTTTTAATCCTCTTAGTTTCTAAACTTGGTCTAAACCTATAATTGCAGGAAACCGCAATTAAAGTTTGGACCCTAACTATCTGAAAGTTGAATAAGAGATCTTGAAAACCACTAAATATTTAAATAATTATAATGTACATGAACTGTGCAGGAAAAGGGTTTTTTAAGGAGATGTGATAAGACAAGTGTATGACTAAACATCTGAACGTATTATCTGTATACTATAACAGAATCAAGGGATGAATAAAGTACTAAACTGCAAAATTTCAGGAGCTTCCTTTGCTGTTTTGTCAACATATATGAGAAACTCGGGTTATGGTAGGCTCACTGCGCACATAACTTCTAAACTAGCTTGGGTGGCTCCACTACTTTTCTATGGTGCATTATCAAATTCGCCTGGGGTCCAAATTTGCCCGGGACCCAAATTCCCCCAAATGTGCTCAGTGCTCAAATTCGCCGGGGCTCAAATTCACCCGGAGCCCAAATTCGCCGGGGTTCATTTTGCTCGTGGCCCAAATTCGATAGCCTAAAACATTCACGTGGTAATGCTTTTTAATTTGATACGAGATATGTGCGTGTGGAGCGCGACGACGAAGCTTGATTCAATGGCCTAAAATATCCATGTTGTGATGCTGGTTAAGTTAATACCACATAATAATGTGGGGGTGGAGCTCGGCCAAAGACCAAATAAACTTTTCCAATGATATTAAATTGAAGCAGAATAAATATTTCTCAAAGTTATCTGCTTAGAGTTTAAACGAAATAATTAATTCGTTTAAACGAAACAATTAATTCGTTGAAACGAAACAAATAATTCGTTGAAACGAAACAATTCGTTTGAAACGAAATAATTAATTCTTTTAAAACGAAATAATAGTTCGTAATAGCGAATTAATTATTTTGCTTGACGATATAATATTCCGTTATAACAAATTAATTATTTTGTTTAAACGAATTAGTAGGGATCTTTCGCTTCGGTACGAAAACGAAAACGTCATCGATTCTTGTGTACTTGTGACGTCAACTGCACATGAGTGTTCGGTCAATGAAGAACGTCACGCGTATGGAGCTGGATTCACGTAGGTATGTAAACGAAAACGTTTTTTGTCTCGTATATTGAATTTTCCACAATTTTTCGAGGTCTTGTGTATATTGTAGAATGTGCTCAAATCCAATATTTTGCTTGATTTGTTGTACATCTGCCAAAGACTCGATTGAAGTTCATGGAGTGACAATTTCAATTCAAGTTGAATAATACTTTAAAAAAATATCGAATGTATCTTATTTCTAAATAATCGGTTTATGAAAAATAAATGGAAATAGTTGAAATTTAATTAAATGATGTGTTTAATCATCTGAATATAAATAAGGCATAGTTTTAGGGGATTACACTCTTTTACCAAGCCGAGGGGGGAGGGGGTACTGTCCTGTCACGATAATTCTTTTCCCTATTGATTTATAGTCTGATTGATAGAATTTCGGGTGATTCAATATTTTGTTTAAACGAATTGTTTAAACGAATTAATATTTCGTTTAAACGAATTAATATTTCGTTTAAACGAATTAATATTTCGTTTAAACGAATTAATATTTCGTTTAAACGAATTAATATTTCGTTTAAACGAATTAATATTTCGTTTAAACGAATTAATATTTCGTTTAAACGAATAAATATTTCGTTTAAACGAATTAATATTTCGTTTAAACGAATTAATATTTCGTTTAAACGAATTAATATTTCGTTTAAACGAATTAATATTTCGTTTAAACGAATTAATATTTCGTTTAAACGAATTAATATTTCGTTTAAACGAATTAATATTTCGTTTAAACGAATTAATATTTCGTTTAAACGAATTAATATTTCGTTTATATAATTTTTCGTGCACGCTTTCACTCTTTAAACGAAATATTAATTCGTTTAAACGAATTAATATTTCGTTTAAACGAATTAATATTTCGTTTAAACGAATTAATATTTCGTTTAAACGAATTAATATTTCGTTTAAACGAATTAATATTTCGTTTAAACGAATTAATATTTCGTTTAAACGAATTAATATTTCGTTTAAACGAATTAATATTTCGTTTAAACGAATTAATATTTCGTTTAAACGAATTAATATTTCGTTTAAACGAATTAATATTTCGTTTAAAGAGTGAAAGCGTGCACGAAAAATTATATAAGAGTGGAATCGTTCACTTCGGGGCTTCGTAATAAAACTAAGGATTGTTTCCCATAAACATTGTGTACTGTTTAATGTTTCTCAATCGCTAAATGTCACTTAACGATTCTGTAAAATGATAATTCTTATAATACATGTAAAATTGTCTGATAAAAATCATTTCATCATGCATGAAATAACTATGTGTCATCTTGCATACGCGATTTATTATTATGCACATGAATTCATAAGTAGAAATCAATACCTCATGTAATGAGACATTTTCTACCAGAACCAACGATTTTATCTACAAGAGTTTAGTCTACTTTATTTTAAGTATGTCCGACCAACGGGCTTCTGCCATATCCAATGCATGTCGTCTGTCATCTTTTTATAATACCTATTCTTTATTTTTAGTATGTCCGACCAAGGGGCTTCTGCCATACCCAATGTATGCCGTCTGTCATCTTTTTTATAATATCCATTTTTGACATCTTCTCCAGAACGTCATGGTCGATTTGCACGAATTGTGGTAGTGCTTAATGAGATATGTTCAAACGGAGTTGATTTGACCCTCTGTGGGTGATTCATGTTAAAGGAAAAAAATTGGATATGTGCACACATTTTCGATTTCTTCTCCTGAACCCGAGTGATGTGTATTTAGATCTGTTTAAACACGATATACAGATTTAGACTTTTTGATTTATTTAAACTTTCATCCTCCTTTTTAGGAATGTTTGCCTGTATACACATATGTATAATATGTGTATGATATAAAGTGGCTTGCTTCTAAGAACTGGCAAATCTATAGATATGTAAATTAGTACAATATTGATCGACTACCTCAACCCACCTGGACTTACAAGTTAAATTACACAATGCAAGTATATTGAACGCTTAAAAATATTAAATATTCCTTTCTTTTAAACAGTTAATGTCTATAATAACGCAGTGATATTTAGAACATTGGAATGAAAATGAACTGTGGTT